TCAATCAATTCCGAGGGGAAGTTGGATCGAAGACAAACCGAGGAAACTTCTGTTAACATCTATCGGCTTTATGATCGCGACTGACAATGAGGCCATAACTCTGATTTAGTAAGTTAATCCCTTTAGCGGAAACACGAACAGGGTCGGGGTCCTCCCCTTTCCCGCCTCCACCCCTTTTAATTAAGAGCGCAATCATTCTGTCGTAATCCAATACCGAACTCGCCCTGTCCATCGCAATTTCTCCCCGACTCGCCAGTCCTAAAGTTAAATTTCCCGTGAAATAAAAACACCGCCGCATAGTGTCGTACGGCTCCGCGTCCCTCACTCTCTCCTCCCTCCCCCGTCCCTCTTCCTCCGCCGATCCCATTCCCTCGATCTGCCTTTCATTGGAAATCGCTTTTTAATCGCGTTCTCGCAAAGCGCCAAACTTTCGCGCGCTTTTAAGTAGTAGAGCCGTTCGATTTATCCGCCGCTTCAAAAAATACTTTTATTTAGTTTGCAATCCGAGTGTTATTTAGTGTAACGTGACTTCAAACGGCTGGTATATTCGTTCTTGTCGCAGACAGGGAGAACTGTTGTTAGGGAGAAGTTGTTGGGCACTTTATACGCGCTGTGAAAATGCATCCGGCTGAAATACCAAAGAACTCGTAGCTCCAGAGATTTGTAAACGTTCATCGTATTCGCTTAATGTAAGGTGAGAGGAGATCAGCTTTAAATCACTGTATCTCGTTTATATTATTATTAAAGAGATTATTACTTCTAAAAAGATTAAACGTTTATATTTTATATAAAGGAATTATTGAAGTTTTAAGAACTAAAGAAATTTCACATGATCAATACAGGTATTTAGAAATACAGCTTGATGTAATAAATCTGAAGCGCAATTTTTCAAATAAAATATCAGCAAAACTTCAATTTAAAATTGAAAATAAATTAATCTTCTTTATGAAAAGTTTTAATAATATGATCCTATTTTATTATATTTTTATGGATTTATTCATTTACAGTGATTTACTAAATTTGCTAAACAAAGTTATGTATTTTTTCTTTTTATGAACGTCTAAAAAGTATTCAAAACAAGGAAGATAAAGAGAAATTTGACTTCAATAAAAATAATGGAAAATAAATTGTTTTTTTTTCACCGTACAGCTCATTTTTATTTAGTTATTTATTGTATGTAATAGTAAATAAAAAATATTTTCCTTACAAATTTAAACAAACAAGTTTTAAACAAAATGAAAACGTGAATGTATATGCAACTTTCTCGTAAATACTTAAATTATAAAAAGTCGTTTTGTACCTTAAAAGGAGCATTATGTTAGAGTTTCGAAAAATGGGCGGTCTCTCGGATTCTTCAAGAAGCTTTTCTCTGCGGTGGAGATCGAGCGATGCATTATACCTCTCGAAACGGGTAAAAATGCGAGGGATCAAGCGTCCGAATTGCGCGTCAGCTGATTGAAAGGCAGCCGGTGACGTTGCCGAAAGGCGCGCCACGCGACACCTTCGCCCGAAATATGAGGACATAAATTCCCGCTACGAGGCTGACCTCCAAATGGCTACCATTAAGCACCCCGAGATTCCCATTTCGACTTCAAAGTATCGAGATCATGATCGAACGACCCTTAATGGCCCCCCCATACAAAAGAGGTGCCACGATCGGTGATCCGAACGCATTCATTTTTCGTGCTTCAGCGCGTACCCAATAAGTCTTAAACTAAGATTTTAACTCTCAGAGATATAAAAAAAAAAGGATAACTTGAAAACCGAAAAAATCGAGAAAACATCTGCGTTTGAAAGACTGAGGATTAAAAAATTAATTCTCAAATCGGAAAAAAATGAATTGAAGAGTTGTTAAATTTAACGAATTAACAGGCGCTATAAATTTAGAAAATTAGAAACACACATTAGATAATATCCATAATATATTGCGCCCAAAAGATCTCGGCATTTATCCAAACGTGAGAAGTCGTGTAAATGCGCCGGGGAGAAGTTCAACATTTGCAGATCTCTAGATTACGAGCCTTGAGAAACTTATGTCTCTCTAAAATTCGACAATTGCTAGACTTTCCGTACTTTAACGATCCGCGAATAGTAAGCGTACTCGCCGGCCTGAAAACGACTTCCAAATTTCGAAAACTAGAAACATGAACGTTAAATCCATTTTAGGTGGTCTTTAATTCTCACATACATAGAACACAGTCAGATACAATCCTATATATAATTTTATATGTCGCGTAATAGCTGAAAACTTTGCCAGAGTAAAATTTATAATTAGCAAAACATATAAGAGACTTTCTTCATCTATATAATTGTGCCGTGAATTCGACGTATAAATATAACTTTATCCCAAATACTCTTGAATTATTACTATCCCTCGTTTCTTCGATAATTTCAAAATCAATCAAATCAATACTCCCTAAAACGGAATAATCCAAGTTTCATAGAAAGGAGTGGATGTTTCGGTTATTTCGGTTATTTCACCGTGTTGCCACCTAAGTAACAATTTGGCAAAAAGCGACGCAATTAAACTAAGTATCGATGATGATCGCTGTAACGCGCGGGCACGCACCTCGGCGACGTGACCGGCGTCCGTCCGGTCCGATCCGAAAGAATCGCGAGTCCATCCACGTAACATAAAATATAGTAAATCGGGCAGAGAGTAATGCCCGGCTCGTAAATAACATGACATATGTTCGTTGGAGGCACGGCTGGCATGTACGCGTAAATCTCCTGGTCCCGCCGATCGATAAAACGCCGCTCGCTCGCTCGCTCGTTGGAGCGCGCGGCCGCCTTCGGCCTCTGCGCTCGCGATCGCTCGATCATTTGTTCCTAATAAATCGGGCGAGAGTTAACGAGTGCATTAGCGAGCGAATTTTTTGTCTTCTCGCCGCGGAATGATATTAGGTATGGTAGCTCTACGCAAATTTATTCAGCTTATTTTTACATAAGCCACGCGGAAAATTAGACGTGTAATTTGGAAAGTCATCGGCTTTTGGTATTTCTGCTATCTTGTTACAAAATATAGATTTTGTCTGATTTAATCAAAGATGTAAGCACTTTTTAATTTGATAATAAAAAATGAAATATAAATTGTATCATTATTTTTTTTATTATAACCTAACATAAATATATAATTAAATCATGCAAACCAAAACTATAAATATGTCACACTTGATGACGTTATATATAATCGGGAAACGTGATTCTTTAAAAAATTTCAGGTATTTTCGGAAATTGAATTCCGCGGAATTACAGTGAAATAACCGATGAAACGTTCAATTTTTCCCGTGTTACCTTCATCATTCCGCTTTAGGGAGTTTCAGCCGATTTTGCAATTATCGAAGAAAGGGGGGACAATTGCATTTGGCTGCGACAAATCGCTGTACACTGAGTGGACAGGAAAAGGCAGAAGAAGGGAGAATAGCCCCGGAAGCGCGCGCAATATCAAGTCTCACGTACGACAATTTAGAATGGTTGTACCGAAATCGTTTATTCGCCGAGAGATTGACGAGCGTCGAAATGTTTTCAAAAAGCTGAAAGAAGTTGATACAGAATATCTTAGAATTTCGATCGAAAGGAGATATATAACGCTCCTTCCTGCGAAATTTGAAATAAATTTTCCCTTGGTAGAAATATCGAGAAAAACAATCATTTTTCATAACTTCGCAAATTTGTAACGTTCAATGTCCTAGCAAATTAAATTTGAAATCCAAAATTCTGTAAAATGAAAGTCGTCTCAAATCAAATAACGTTTCATTACTTATTTTCAAATATATTAATTTGCGAAAGAAAAGATCGTTTCACGAAAGCGTGTAATCCAGAATTTATTTATATAATACTTCCCTTGGTATTTTCGGTCGCAAAAATTGGTTTTAATTTTTAAGAAAGATAATGTATACCGACTTTTTGCCAATTCGAACATTCTCTACATATGTATGTACATATTTATTCATTTCGCGTTTAAGCGGTCTTTTAATATTCCTACCAGCACCGCCACGTCCGTATATTTGATGAACTTTATAATTTGTGATAAACAAATTCTGAAAACTCAATGATGATTAAACAAATTTACGTTTAATAAATTTCCGAGTAATTTAATAATCGTGTTGCAATCTCATCGCCAAAGTATTTATAATTGCAACGTCAATTATTTACGATTGTGTTGTTCAATTATCAATTTTAATCCGTTATCATTTTTTTTTCTCGAGACTAATTAATTGTTTGGCACGACGGCGACCGCGACGGTCGATTCTGTGAATTCAGCGAAATCACAAATTTCGAAATAATTTTGCGAAGTACTGTATTTCCACAGAAGTTTTCCACAAGAAAACGTTCTGAGATCCTATCATCGTTAAAAGCACGTAATTAAAATTGACGAGCAGCAATCACGAGTTAACAAGGTACCGACGCAAAACTACGCCCCATTCTTTCCTCGTCCGCCCACTCTTGCATTTTATACTAACAACGCTAGCTTCGCGATTGACGTTTCATTACGCAAAAGAAAAATCACGAAGGGGAAGAGAAGAAAAGATATTTTCATGTCGTGACTGAATCGAAATGATCGGCTTTCCAACAATGCAATGTTAATCAAACTAAAAGTTTAAATACAGAGTTTCTAAGCTAAAACTAACTTACTGTGAAAAATTCTGTTATCATCAATTATGAATTTACCTGCTAAAAATTACACTCCTTTATTGTTACACTTCAAATATATTGACGTACAGCAGCATTTTATTTTAAGTCAAAGGATTATAATTGGCTGCGCATTGACGAGTTTAAATTTACATCGAACTTAGCATGTACAATCGCGCGAATTAGAGCGTGTTCTATTTCGAGCAATCAATTGCCGGTATATTACCGCGATACGTTGCACGTGCAATTTCTGTATTAGATTATGCGATCGTGCCGTGATTAATTGCGAGTTGCAGTTGTACGCGCAATTATTGCCCGGTGGAAAACAGACAGAAGTATATATTGCGATTTGTGTTAAACTGACTTACTTGCGAATCGCCGACTTCGGACATGCACGATCCACGCACTCAGTCCCGAAATCGATCCTTAGCTCGGTGCTGTAAACGAAAAATAAAGATTTATTATAAAACATTGATGTAATCGCTATAATATAGATATACAATTTAAATATTTTTGCGTTTTAAAAATAGAAATTAGTACTTTTGGAAAAATCGTGATTTCTACAACTTTTCATTTTTTAATTATTAAATAATTTCACGTTTTATCCTTAAAATATGTAGTATCAAATTTATTTCAATCAAACAAGTAAATGGTGAATAAATTATTATATAAATATAAATGAAAATATTTCTTAGAATTACTGCTGCTTTTAAAGCGATATATGTTTTTTTGTAAGAAAATTTTTGAAATTTTTTGACTTATATAACATTTTATTATTTCAAAAAACACACATGTGTAAGAATTAGTAATATTTTTAGTCTACAAAAAGGTTACTTCCGCTTCCCTCATTTAAATGTTACGTCGTTTAATCTTCGTCAAATTCTTTGTGTTAACAGCCGTAAAACGTTTCGCCTCGAAGTACTCACTTCGACATAAATCCTCTCTGTTAATTGCGCCGTACGATCGCGCGAGTAATTTAAACTCGCCCGCTCGCCCCGGCTGGCGGCCTGACGAAATAATATTCCGGCTAAATGGCGGCTCGTGAATCCCGTCCGAATGCGCGATAAAACCAATGCCGGCAACGTGTTTACAGTTTTACGAGGTGTCAGCGAAATGCACAACGCGAGCGAGCTACATTCACGTAACATCATATGGACTTATATGATATCCTAAACCTTTGCCGTACTGCCCAGATCGTTAATTATTTTTTTTATTCAGAAAATTTCCCAATTTTACTGTCATTATTATTTTCAGAGAATTATTTCGAAGTTTTAAATGTAAAAATTATTTTACAAGTATTTTATTTTTAATAATAAAGGAAAAGATATGTTAGTAAAAAATACGTTATGTGTGTGAACAGTTGTAATATAAAAAAATAACAAGGATATATATGACTCTAAGAAATAAAATAAAACTCTCGTATAATTAATTATGACAGATAAAATACCTGACTCGTTAATAAATTTTATCTAATCTAGGAAAAGAACTGCAATTAATCAATGACGTAGTCACTTAAAATTTAATCAATCTATAGCGGAAGAGCTATAATAAAAAATATAAAAAGATTGGAGATATAAAATTTTCTGCGTGCGTCTTGCCACAGTTTTCAAATTCTTTTCTTTAAACGTACCTTAACATGCTGAAACATATGTTTACAAAATGTATGATATTATCGAAATATAATTGCCACAATTGAATAATTAACCTCTAATTGGCTTAGTTAAACAGGCGATTAGCAACAGCTGTTACGTGACATTGGCACGTCTTGGCCAGTATTTGATGTCGTGGGTTACGATTTCATCCCTCCCTCCCTCTCTCGTCGCCCCACCTTGACGTCGCGTGTCTCCCCGGAGGCTCCTTGAGCGTCTGATTAACTTGGGGTATGAAATTATGTCCCATCTTTATACCCTCCTTAATACACCTAGACTTATGTATAGTATCTAAGAACTCTATGATTCAGAGGACTCGATTTATTTAAGCATCTAAAATCTCAGATTTAATAATGCAATTTATGACACAGTACAATAATTTAAAAAACAAAACTGTACATCAAAAGTATAATATAATTTATCATAAATGTTCTATTTAAGAATTTAAAACTTTAACATTCTAAAAAACGTAACAAACTCATTCTGTGCAAAATAAAATTTAATTTTAGAAATAAATCAAATATCAAGATGATATTTATATGATACATATATATTTAACAATGTTTTCAAATTCTACAAATTGTATCACACTTGTCTTTAAAAAGTATAAGGAATGCAAAGTCTAATTTGAATTTTTTAATGTTTACATCTTTCATCATTTCGTTTAAATCTCTCAGAATCAAACAGTTCAAAGATTCAATTTAATCAAAGACTTAAACACTTCACCAAGGTAAACTAAACGAACTTATATACGTATTTAAAAAGCTAGAAATACAAAACTTTTGATATTTGAAATACAAACACTCGAGGGTCCACACCAATTGGATCATTTATTATGTCAAGCCCTTCGTCATTTTCTAAAGCCACCCTTGACTCGACGTCAAATTCCTCAAGCCCTTCATCTCTCCCTTAACAGTTCGCACCTTGACTCATCCCCTCAAACATGTCGGCTGCAAGACGCTACAGCTGCAGCTGCAGTTCTCGCGTGCATCCGCAAGCGAGAGGAAGAGGAGGGGGATTACGGGGAGGATGGGTATGGCGTGGGATGATTGTGGGGGCAAACGTAGGTGGGGGTGGATCGTACATATGCGGCCGGTGCATGCGGTAATGGCGGTGCATACGGTGTACCAGTCAAACGCATACCGTATTGATTTTAATATCTGTGTAGGAAGCAGAGAGAGGAAGAGCAGGTGAAGAGAATAGAAGAAGAAGGGTGAGGGAGAGACGGGAGAGAGAGAGAGAGAGAGAGAGAATAGAAAGAAAGGAATGCGGTGGAAGAGGAAGCTTTTACACGTCATTTAGGCACCTGTGGCTGTGACTTCTGATGCGTCAGCATTTTGCTCGCGTATTAAGGCGCATTGGCAAGTTTATTCAAGTCGATTTACCTTTTGTGCAGAATCACATTCACATTATATACCATATTTCAATGTCCTCTCTTCTTAACGTTCACTAAAATGTGATCTCATTCATAACGTGAACTATTTTCAAATTAAGCTTCGCAAAATAAATGCAATTTTTTTTAGAACGACATCGTACAAAAAATCTTCTAACTTTTCGTGATTACTCCGTGAGATAAAATGGATGAAATAACTATCCCCGAATATCAACTAGAATTAATCTGCTCGTTCAATTAAAAATTCGTCTACTCATGAAACTAATTTCAAACGTGGGAAGTGAGCGGTAGGGGGAGATAGGTTTGTAAATGACGAACGCACTAATGGTAAGTGACAGTGGCTAATTAATTAGTATCGAATGTTCGGCACAGCAAGAGCGATTAAACGCAACACCTGAAAATCCTAATCACTTACAAATTAATCCGGACAAACATAATAGCAGATACGTGTTTACTATTTTTAATCAAAAGAGATGGTGAATATATTGAAATCGTTCAGGAATTAAAACATTGAAAAATTTCACGTGTAACAAATGAACATGATTTAATAAATCTGTAATTTTTCCGTATTATGTTTCAGTTAAAAACAAAATAATTTAAATCTTTAATTCTATATTAATCACATATCGAATAAAGAATTATTACTTTTAAAAATTTTGTATTATATTGCATTTTATTATTGAATCTATATGTTAACATATGCCATAATATATCGCATTTATCTCGATTGATTCTATCGAATAAAAAATAAAAATAAAAAGTACATAGTATAAATAATATAATGACAACGAAGTAATTAATATAATTTTCTATATACAACGGAATTATTACAGCGTAATAATTCTGAGGCGTTCAGCCTTAATCTGCACGAATCGATACTAAATTCAGTATATAATGCAGCTCAAAATAATGAGATAAGAGAAGAAACCACTCCCTTGATGCTACCGTTGCTCGTACAACAATAACAAAACTAGTTATAAAGATCGATGTATAAAAGGATTAAAATGGGTATAGCTTGCATCGCTTTTGTTGGTGAATTAATCACAACTTAATTAAATCTAGAGCACACTATGTACCTACCAAGCAAACCAAACTGCCCTGTTTACTGAAAGCACTCATCTGGAATAATAATCCGCATAGCTTTATTGCAATAAGATTATTTATTTAGGATCTATCGCGATAATTGCGATATACAACATAAAATTTTCCAGTAATAAAGCTAATAATCATTGCGACATGGTTAAAAGGTGTTAGCTGTTTCAGTTTGTTCAATATTTAAAAATATTATGAAAATTACCTGAACTACAACCAAATTGCCATGTTTACAAAAACACTCACCCGGAATAATAATTTATGCGGCTTTACACAATGAGATTAGTTAGGATCAACAAGGATAATCATTGCAACAAATATTTTCCAATAATTATTAAGCTGAAATTCGTTACAAAATCATTAAAAATAATAATTGTGCATCCAATTTCTAAATATTGAAAAATTATGAAGATTCGACAAGCATCAATTAGAAGATTTAATACGGCAATAATCTCATCTCCATCTTTTCATTTATTTTCGAAAGTTTATGAAAAGATTTATGTTAGCTTTTTCAATGTCAATAAGATAAAATACAAACTGATGCATCACGGAAATAACTTGTTTAATCCACAAAAATAACTTTATATAAAGAATTTGTAGTTAACTAATGAGTCAATAATAAAAGCTTAAAGACAAACTTAAAATTATAGTAATTTATGAGGATTAAATAAACATTAATTAAGTGTAACATTAACTTATTAAACATAAACTGTAAGTTCAAGTTCCCTGCGGCTGTGAGTGAATTGCGCGAGCGATTCGAGACTAAACAATCAACGATTACATAGCTGGAGCAAATTGAGATCCTGTTATTGAGGACAAGATTTGCCGCGTCCATTACATGAATTTGTCACATTTAGCAATTGGCAGTGGATAACTACTATAACGCATTGTTCCACTCTGTATATTGCGCTTTAGGCGATTTCCAGGCACTATTCGTCTCTCACGTGCCCTACAATCCATTTGACTTTCGGCTATGCATAATAGAAAAAAACAGAAAATATAAAAAAAGGATACATCAAAAGAACTGAACATCCATTTTATTACAAATTCTATGAAATATTCCAAATCCATTTTTCATAAACGAAAATGTAGAGAAATCTTCAGTTTCGAAGTAAATTTAATTTCTTGAAAAAGAAGTTATTGGCAAATAGCTTTAGGAAAGAAAATAAGTGACAAAAAAAATTGTTGAATTAATGTCAAATGGATTAATTCTAGTTCAATATCATTTTAGGAAAATACTTTAGAAACTTGATTATATAGAGTTAAAACAATTATAAATAAGAAGAAATAATATTTATTATTCACGAAAAAGTGATTTGGAAAAATATCCATAATGACACTGAAACATCTTACCCTTTAAAATAAATGGTAATATATGTATATAATAAACATTGTAAAAATGCGTACAAAAAAAATAAAATAAAATTTAGCAATTTATTCATTCGATTTTATTGCAATATTTATTTTATAGGTATTTGTAAAATAAATATCTGTATGAAAAATAAATATTAATAAATTTAAAATATGTAAATATAAAATAAAACATTTAATAATTTATTCAGTCCATTTATTTCAACAAATATTTCACACACGTTTTAATGCATACAGGTCTCTGTTGTACCACCGCCCTTTTCATTTGCTAAGTATACCCAACATTTCCTAAAATATCCCGCATTGGTCTTTCTCTACGAGGCTCACTCTCCTCCGTCCCTCGAGAACCCGTTGACGAGACATAGGCTGCTGGATAGGACAAGGGATGGCAAGAATGAGGAGGGGAGGGTGGCAGATACGGACTTCCTTCTTTGTCGGCCAGGGAGTCGAATGGCGGACAGACAGACGGGTTAAATTTGCATGGACGCTTGTCTGCGTTTCCAATTTCACGCATGCACACATTCAGCAGCCCCGGGAACAGTTTGGGCAGTCGACGAGGGAGGGCGGAAGGGAGGGGGGAGGGGGGTTGGCTGATAATAAACGGCGTCGATCTCGGCATAAATCAAGGCCGCGAATCCCGGCGCGCATCTTCGCGAGCGAACGAAAAAAAAAGGAGGGGATTGGAGGATGGAGAGGGTGCGAGAGGAGTCGGTCCATCGACAACGGCCAAATTAATCCGGCAAGCTTAAACAAGCGGAAACCATCCCCGCAAACCGTACTCTCTTGCGGCAGGGAATTCCCGCAACGGACCGCGCGGGATTCCTGTTGCATTTGCATGTGTTATTATTACTATCGTTTAATATACACGGCGTGCCGGAATTATTTGATTCGTTCGTGCAAATTTTGTCTTAACAAAGATGTCAAAAACGCGAATGACTTTCTAGAGAATTGCATAAATTCGATATAATTAGACAAGTTAATTACGTTATTTTCAATACGGCGGAAACGGGAAAATCGTATTGGAGTCAGAAGGCCTCATATTGAATTAAAATAACGATTTATGAAACATCTTGCAAATCAGTCCTCTATAAATATCTTTTTATAAATCAATTAACTAAATTGAGATATTTGAAGAAATAAAATCCGCTTCTTGTTTTAGATTCGTATTTGTGTATTAAAGTGTATTGAACTTCCGGCATCTCAGATTCGCAAATCGTTCGGGGATTTAACGAACACCATGAATATAGAATTGATAACGATTTGCAATTGTCCGCAGTATAACTAGGGCACACACGTGATTTTTTTGACATATCGATTGTTATAATCGGCTTAGTCGTTCAGTTGCCATGCCCGCGCGGCGAGCTTTATACGCGTGTATGCATGCAAATACACACGTACACGAAAGCTTGAATAACCTTTCAAACTTTTTGCGTGAATACAGACTCGAAATGCATTCTAATGCTTCAACAATCTTTTTCAAAATATCTCACATTACATATGTTATAATAATTTAGAAATTCACGGTCACATTTCTTGCGAAGCTAAATACTTTTTTTCGTATTTATGCTGGGAATTAATATATATATATATATATTTTTCCCCTATATTTTCTGTAATCTTAATAACTTAATAATTAATCTGTATTATTAATATCTGTATTTTTCTATAATTAATAATATTTGAATATAAAGCTAACCTTTTGCGTGAAACGCAATGCAGACTCGAAATGCATTCTAATGCTTCAACAATCTTTTTCAAAATATCTCACATTACATATGTTAATTTAGAAATTCACGGTCACATTTCTTGCGAAGCTAAATACTTTTTTTCGTATTTATGCTGGGAATTAATATATATATATTTATTTCCCTCTATATTTTCTATAATCTTAATAACTTAATAATTAATTTGTATTATTAATATCTGTATTTTTTATAATTAATAATATTTGAATATAAAGCCAACCTTAACTCAGACGACGAGAAGATCTCTCGACGGTCCATACGACGTATCTGGGGGGACGACTTCGAGAAGAAAAAAAAACACCGAATAACACTCGCGACGCGATTCGACAATTTGTACGCGTAGAGCGCGAAATACCGTGATTAGTTACAAATATTACAATCAGAGATGACTAAACGTTCGGCACTCCTAACGTATTCGGACACGCGATTCGTTCTCGACAGGTAAAAGTCGCGGGAGGAACGTGAAAGTACACGACGCGACACCCGATTCCGCACTCCCTGATATATACGTGTATACACTCGATACTCCGCGGTATTCATATTCGTACGCGCGATCGGCCACTTACGTCGCGACCGTCGCGTAAGAAACGAGGAGACACCCCGGTTAACGTGCGAACGCTCGAGCGGCCCGGCGGCGAGTGGGGCGAGAGAGCGTCGAGCGTGTCGCGTGGCTGCGGTGAAGGTGAAGGTTAAACGGTCGCCCGCGACGACGCTATGACCGTTAAGTTACTCCGTAAGAGTATACCGAGTATGTAAACATGGTGAGTTTGTAACAAAAACGATACGCGATACGCGAAACACACAATTATTCGATTCATACGACTCTCGCGTATCAATCTACATTACCGATTCCCGCGAAGTGCGCGAAGCGAGACGCGCGCGACGGTAATGGCGTGTTTGATAACCGCGACAAATACTTGCCGCCTGATTGTTCCGCGAATGCTTCGATCTACCGCTTGGTCCTTCGCGTCCGACGTTCGAATTAGTGTGCATTTCAACGCTGTATCGCCGCCGCGGGTATCAACTCGCGGATATGCGACTCACTCTTGCTCAAAAAAGGAACGGCGACGAAGAGTTCTTACGTAGCGACGACGCGACGCGACGGAATGAAGTTCGTTGCTCGCCGCGGCCGCGGCGGCGGCGGCGGCGGCGGCAACTTCACGCGGTTCAAATTTGCAACAGTGGCGCATTCGGCAACCCATCACGACGCGACGCGACGTCTTGAATTTCTGATCGCGATATTAATTCTGCACTGGAAACTGCATTGATTAATCGCCCGTCTGATGTTTCCGTTTAGCACCTTCAGTATTAATGAGCGTGCATATCTTTGAAAATATTCTCGTGAAAATTTTGAAGAGATAATGAAGTGCGACGCGGAAAGCCAAATAGGTTAGAGCGCCGTATCTATTTTATCTATTCCGCGGACTATTTCGCCCGCGCGTATATTCACGCCGCGCCGCGAATTGCATTGCGCGGCCGGCGCGCTCGAAATTCTTACGCCCACGTCGAAATTATTACTCACCGTCGTAAAGACGACAATTAATTCAAGCCATTAATATGACTATCGGATATTTCGAGCGTTGAATTTGCCGAATGCTGATTTTAGCTCAGACGCCGTGGAAATAATTCATACGATGTATTATTTGAAACGTACTCTGGGAGAGCGAGAGTCTTCCTTGAAAACAATCAACATTTGCTGCGCGATTCGACAATTCGCGGACGTAAATGAGAAAATATCGTATATCTCTAATTACGAGCAGGCACAATTACACATTCGGCATTCTCGACACGCACAATTCGTTTCAGATAAGTAAAAACAGCGAGGAACGTAGAAGTATAACACGAAACTCGATACGATACTTTCGATATGCATTCGATATTTCTAATATCAAAATCTGTGTGTGATTCACTTAAAATACATAGAAAAGCGTAAGCAGTAAGCAAATCGGCCAGTCACAGTTGAGAACGTAAGGCAATAGTGTAAGCGATAGCAAATAAAAATTAATGATAAACAGCTCGTTATTATATATATAGGTGTAAAATAAAAAATGTCGATTTATTTATTACTTATATGTATCTTACTGCTAACGTTTTTCTACGTTCTTCATTTTCTTGTGCCATTGACCTTACAACGTAAGGAACGTGAAAATGTTTCACGGAAATATCTCGATCTGAATGCTCAGACAATGACGATGAAACTGAAGCTCAGATTGTGTATCTATAATTGTATAAAGGTTCAATGTTCGCGCATACTACTATGTCGTACGCACGTTATGTGTTATATAAGGATATCTTACAAACGGTCGCGATATGTAATACACGTAATAATATTCGTAATATGTAATTTAATATTCTCTCGAATATTAATTCGCGCATACCATCCCGCTGATTCTTGCGAAATAAAATCCGCGAAGCGGAACGCGATAAAGACGCGAAATTGTCGCCGGACCGCGTTTCGGAATATTCCGTTATTCACCGAGTATTACAAATTTATATCGCGAAGCGTTATCATTGTTATTGTTTAACGCCGAAGATTTTATATAAAGAAAGGAAAAGAATTATATATTTGAGACTGACGGATAGAGTCGCTCGGATAAAATCTCGCGATAAAGTATTAATTAATAGCGATATGTAACATACATGAGCGTCTGAGGAGCGTCAGATTGCTAGTTGAAATATTCGATCTCGCGATAAAGAAACTTTATCATTATTAATTTGTGTCCCGTCGTCATGTGTTACATTAATTGATTTCATTAATTATTATTATGTATATTAAGTATACGTCCACTGAGACACTATCGTGCATAATTAAATCGATTAGACTAGATGTGACATATCAATTTTTCAAGCGCACTTTGTCTGCCGAATTCGCTTTTTGTCGAAAAACTGTTTGCATTCTTAGCCAGTTCGTATTTTAAATAGATGGAGATTGTCATTAGCGAGATCATTTATATTTAGCAACGTGACGACAATGGCGATAACATCCCGCGATTTAAATTTGCAACATTTAGTCGCATATATTCAACTCACGTTTTAATGGGTCTCTTTAAAGATTGTGAAACGGAAGTTGCATTGAGCATGTTAGCCGTTAATCTGATTTCGTGGTTCATTCTGTGCGCACATGATTTGTACCAAATTCATCAATTATAAACACGTTACATAAAGAACAGATGATTTCACGCGAGCCATCGTCTGAATCATTTGTATTCTTGCGATTCAGCAACGATGTCTATGACAACGGCGGTAACATCTCGCGAATCTGAATTTTGCAACATTTCGATCGCATTCGATAATTCGACGTACCATAATTCCGGAATTATTTCAGTTATACTTTCACGAGACGTTAAAAGGAATGAATTTTTCGATCGCGCTGACCGCGCAACGCAATTCATGGCAACGTAAACGCGAAGGCGAAATAGTAAATATCCGCGAAGTATGCTGTCCAGCTTTTCGTCCATTAGTTACATATCTAACGGTTCGCGAATTTTTACGGATCAAATGTGATTTGCGCCTATTAATAACGGGAGCGCCAAATCCAATATTGGACAGGCGTTATTGTACCAAGTAAATTGACGCGATTCCGATGCATTAATATCATGCTCCGAAATTTGGTGCGTCGGATTGTCGATCGCTTGAAGTTGCCGCCATGCCGCTGTATACAGTTTTTGCATTGTCCCTTCGTAAAGATGTTTCGCCGTGTCGCTTTTTGCGCAAAAGTAAGTGTCGCATGGATAACGTATTAATATAACGGACTGTTAAAAAGTATCGAAACGAGTTGAATCAAGTAGCGAGAGCGTGAGTATCTCCAGAACAATACGGCGGCAAGTCTCGAGTTATTTCTCGATGTTATTATCCCGTTCGCTTCATGGATTTTACTTCATAAGAAATATTGAATTGATATCGGAAAAGCGTCGAATTACCGTTGCATTATGAAATCATAATTAGTTGCAATGTATCTTGTAGTTCGTAATATACACTTGTCCTGTACGTTAACCTTAACCTTCGCGCAGTCACAAACAGATACACAATTCGGGCCTCAGTTATCGTCGCGTTGTCTAAACATTCACACGTAATCGAGATATCTCCGTGATTTTCATGTTTCTTACATGTTGTAAGTGAATCGCGTGTGCGTGGGTTTTAATACTAAAAATGTCGAGTGTATATCAAAAATATCATATCGAGTTTCGTGTTACATTTTACGTTCGTTTCGCAACTTTTACTTGTCGAAGATAAATCGTCCGTACAACTATGTTAAAAATGCGAATGTGTAATTGTATCTGATTGTTATTAGCCACGATTTCTCAATTGTCAGATCGTGTCGCAAATGTTGATAATTTTCAAGATAGGCTCTCGTTTTTCGGAGTTTTAGAGATTACATCGCATAGATCATCGAAAAATCTTCGCGTCGTTTAAATTAAGATTAGCATTCGAGGCAATTTAATACTCGAAATTTTCGATTTTAATTATATTAATTATATTAATTATACATTTTTCGCACGTACAAGTGTAAAGTACAATTAATTGTTGCATAATTTTTGTGTTAAAATGTTTTTAGAATTATTTGATCTTAAAATATCCCGGTTTCAAATTTATTGCCCTTTATTTAAGTTAAAAACTTAGAGCAAAATGTAACAAAAATTTTTGGTATATCTATTTTCTTCTTTTTTTTTTTAAGTACTCTATACAAGTTTTTCGGGAGATGCTAGCTTAACGAAATTAGCACCTCCACTTTTGATATTTAATTTCCTACGGATGGATAGAAACAATAAATGAGCATTTAATTATGGCATATAGTCGAACGTATTTTAGTAGTAGGGATCTGAAATTCACAGAGATGCGATCCTCGCGAGTTCAATAGCATCGAAACGTAAGTCTGATAGAGCATCAGACATGTCAAATTGATGATGAATATTGATGTATCTCGAAACGGCGGGTATATTTTTCGCCACTGTCACAGCTACGCGGATTTTATTCCGCAGTGTAATCAGTAATATCGTACAAATTAATATCTAAAAGAATATTGAATTACGCGTATCATTACATAATACACGTATTACATATCGCGATTATTATAAAATTCTCGTAATGTATATAAACTTAACGGGCGTCAGGTATAATAGTATTTGAAATGATTCTGAAAAACGTTAATCTTCATCTTGCGTTATTCATCGCAATCACAAATAGAGATACCGCATCCGGACGTCAATTATTGTCATTTAAATATTTTAAGCATTCGTTATACATCGAGGTGTCTCCGCGTTTTTATACTTCTTGCAAATTCCGTTCTAAGCAAATTGTACCCGTGGATTTTTAATCCGAGAAATGCCGGATACATGTCGGAAATGTCGTATTGAGTGTCGCGTTATTCTTTTATTACCTAGCTTGGTCTCGCAACTCTTGTTGTCGAAGACAAATCGCGTACGTTGTACAAATAAATGCATATGTCGACAATGCCAAGTCAAGTAACATGTATCGAGTTGTATTGCAATGCATCAATATGATCAGGAATTTAGGGCATCCCTTGGGGGGTAGACAAATCGCGCGTATATCCAGAATGTGTAATCATGTCTGATCGTAATTAACCGCGATGTTTCTTATTTACACGTGTATGCGTGAAGCGTTGAAATACGCCGCGAGTGTTTCTCGTATAATTTTGTTTGAAAGACAAATAGCGATTATCTAGTGTGTCGGATGTAATCGCGCGCGACTGTAATTAATTGTGACTTTTCGTTTACGCATAATAAATCGATCTCGCGTCGCGAGTGTAACATGTTACCAAAGACTCTTTCTCTTTTTTCTAGAGTTATCTTGAATCATCGAGAGGCGTAAATACATCGCATCATCGAGAAGCCTTCGCAACATGTTAATTAAGGTAAATGCTATATTAATTAAATTTCTTAATAATCATATTTATTCGCGGATTTGCGCATAATAAACAGATGATGTTTCACGATGAGCCTCCGTATACATTTCTCATACAAAGAATTCTATTCAGTATTTTACAAAAATTAATTTACATCGAATCGTAATTCAGTGATTCGGAACTCTAAAGTCAAAGTAAAATTTTATCCGTAATGTTTGTTTAAAAAACCGTAATCGAGAAATAAATTAATTTCTCGCGTTGTTGTTAATGTTATTTATTGCAAAATTGTTTTTAAATATTTAAAAAAAATGAAATTATGCAGACTCGCTCTTGCATCGAACGTCTGTATTTTTATCGTTAAATTACTCTGTTGTCGCTATTTATTTCTATTATTGTTAGTTTTATTTCGTCCTTCCATCAATTTTATTTTTATGATTTCGCTAACGCATACGCATTTTTTAACGAAATCTCTCAGACAGAAACGCCGACGCGCGTCTTCCTTCGAACGCTGCTTTTCACGAGCGTTTCTCTTATCAGAGGGAAACGCTACGCGACACAATAAGACGGAAATCTGCTGGAAGGAAGACGCCGTGGACGGAAGGCAAGAGGGAGAGTTTATCTCGGAAATAAAAGTACGAATAAATAAAACGGGGAACGAATGCACGAATGTTCGTACATTAGCCTTCGCGAGAATGCATCCGAGGATACATCCGTATCCTTGGATGCGTCCTTCGATCAAGCGTATGCAGAAAGATCCTTAGATAGAGACATCGAGCGTAGAGAAGCAGAAGGGTTTTCGATACTGTGCTAATATTGATATTCTTCCTCGAATGGTGATACACTTTACTTGCTGTTCGACGCTTTCACCTTCCTTTGTTATCTGTTAAAAATCCCATTTTTAAGCAAAAGTTCTGGTAATCTAGCCATATCTTATTTATCTCTCAACTATTAATCCAATTTTTAATTGCTGATATTAAAATGTTAGATAATCTTTACTGATTTTCTAATTTCATACAGCAAGAGAAATTTATAAAAGATTTTTATGAAAACTAAGAATAATATAGTATGTGTGCATATGTGTGAAATTTCATTATATAACATTTTTTACGTATGAAATTTTATTACATAACGCTCTTTAGAATATGCAGAAACGTTTTACACGGTATTTTTCCCATTTTTTCTCTGATTTAGACATTTATTATCAAAGAAGATAGCCAAGCATACAAAGATATGTAATGTTGAAAATCAGACTATCACAAATGATAATATCTGTACGTTAAAATATTCGTTACAACGAAACGATTTAAAATAATTAAATTTCGATATTTGAAATGTCAGCTAAATCTAGAATGCGTCTATATGTATGTATATTTAACAGTAATTCTTACATATTATATTTTTGGTACATACATAATCGATGTCGTTCCTGCAAGTAATGCGGCTTGTGTCCTTCTTCGTGAATTGTATACTTAGAACATTCTCGATTCGTTCGCAGAGCTTTTCGATATGTGCAAAGACCGACAGTAACAGCATTGCTATTTTATTTAGGAACGAAAAGGTAAAATATTTAAAAATTTGGCTGGAAACAAAGCGATACCATCTATTTTCGATTTATGAACTTACGTGTACACGGGTCGGCTCGCTGTTTTGAAAGATTTAAAAAGTATTATATTCTTACAAATGTATACTTTTGCACATAATAAATTTCGTAGAATACTAAATTGTATTATATCATTAAAAATATATTTTAAAAAATACGGTTATAATAAGGAGAGAGAAGAAAATAATTTTTTGTAATCTCCCATTTCAAATTACTGATAATCATCATCAAGGCGAATCGCTCTTATTTAATTTTATACAGTTTCGATGGTCGACATTGCTAATTAATTTCATACCATGCCCAAATGAGATTGAAATGTGCAGTTTAAAAAAATCGAATAAGTCCGTTCCGATTTATCTTTGCCATCATTTCTCATTTTTCGCGATTTCCGCTTTTTGTCACGATATCCTGCTTATCCTCGAGACAGGCTACGTGTTTCAGAAATAACGTAGAAAATGGAGATGGAACTAGTTTTGCGTCGGGACAAATTAAATTTCAGCGAGCCGACGCGCGCTCATACCGATGTGCGAGCGCGAGCGGGTAAACTCGATCGCGCGCGAACGAGCGACGACGAGACATGAAACACGCACGCACGTACTCATGCATGCACGCGTACCGGGTATCCGCATCATCCCGGATGCACCAGCGTGCATTATACGCGACGTGTTAGGGGATTTCGTAATTCTCGCGAGAAGGAGAGAAAAAGAGGGAAAGAGAGAGAAGGAAGGCGCGTGGAGAATCCGAGGAGACTCCGAGGGACGAAGGCACCAAGGATTTCGCGTTGTTCTAAAAATCTCCGAGCATTCCTGAGGCTGCAACCCAGAGCCCACGTTGGGATGCATACGTGATGCAAGTAGGTATCGTGTCGTCTCGTATTGACAAGTCTACAGTTGTGGGATATGACGGAAATGTGGTACACTCCAAACTTCGAAAATTAGATCTTTTATCGATTAAATGCTGAAAATTGTAATCAAATATGATAATATTTGATAACGAATATGTTATAATATAAATTTACAAATAATAGATTTTACATTATCAAATTATAACAATAGATATCTACTAAATCGTGATAGTATCTTATAAGAAACTATGATAGATATAATTATCTTCTGAAAAAGAAGCAACAACAAATTAGACGATAAAGCTTATCTTTTAATTTCAAGTGGATTTTGTTTCGTAAGATTTTGATTCAATTAAATTTTGCAAAAAAAAAATTTGCTTTATATACAATGTGTTATAACTGTACGTTACACTAATACCACGCTATAACATGAAATGTCCTAGCATATGTTTTCGAGTATATTTGAGAGCTATGTAACAAGAGGAAGTGTTACGGGCATCTGCAAACTATTCTTCACAATGGGCAATAAAGACTCACAATGATCTTCTCTCTCAACGGAAATAAATCGTGAAGTAGACATAAACTGCAGTTTACAACGTGAATCAAAGAGCTAACAGCTGAGCTTCCATCAAATCCTATTCCAATCAATTCCCGGCATAAAATCCACATGAAATCAACGAAAGGCCTATATATACATATACTTATTCGACTCGCATGACTCCCGATTAGCGCAATAATTATCGATTCTATCAAAATTCTACATACTCGTTATCAAAAGCAGATTTTGATTTTAAAAAAATATAGGAATTCAGTCTTCGGTTTCCGTTATTTTTTTTTGTTACCATAATTACTAAAGCTTCATGTCGACATTTAGTATTATTCAGAAATTCGCGTTTCGGTATCGTCGATAAATAACGGTAGTTGCGAGCAAGGATAGCAGAACAACAATGATATACGGCACTTAAACATACAATTGTCTGTAAATAAATACTGTTATCGATTAACCCGACCGTTCTCTGACAGAGTTTAGCATACTCGCGCGGTACCATCGATCATCGAAAATTCACGATGGAATTAGACAAGATTCGATATTTATTTATGCGATGCCATCGACGATGACATAGTCGGATTCCGCTTTAATATATTCAACAACGTTTTGACATTGCTCTGAAAACGTACCTGTTGATTAGATAAAAATATCCCCGCCGTTTAATCCTGCCTGAATGTTTAATTTTTAACTCGCAAAGAAAAACAGGAATAAGCTAGATATGCGAGCCGCGCATTAATTAACAAAAATATAAATTCCCTCTGCGTTCGGCGAGTTATTAAATTTCACTGTAAATTTAAAGTATTTCGCTTCTCGGAAAATAAACGCGGGCGAAAGCGACGTTTTTTTTGCGAGATAATAATAACAAAAAAGCAATGAGGACGAGGGGGGGAGGGGTGAAAACTGTTCTGCAAAATTGCGGACTTTTTATGCAATATATTAATTGTCGCGGTATTTTAAATATTTGGATAGTTTTTGATCGTGCAATTGATAACGGCTTTATCCGCGAAATATTTTATTCGAAAAATTATTCAATTACGGTTTTATTCCCCGTAAAAGGAATTTCATGAAACTCTTGGTTGGAAACAAAATTCAGAAAATAAATATAAATGGTTTAAAATATAATCTTTTATTGTCAATTATATGATGTTTTTACAAAAAAAAAATCATGTGTGTTTCATGAGGCAAAAGCGTATATAGCATAAATGATAAAAATTATGGTGAATAAAGTAAATAGAAAAAAAAACAAGATTAAAGTGGAAGGACCGTAGGAACTGTAAGTAATTAAATTAAAAAGATTTGCGAGAGGAATTTTCTTGTAGCTTTTACGCATGAGACGCAAGGTATTTAAATAATGTAAAAAAAATGTAATAAAAATGTAATAAAAAATCTAGTGATCGGCTTCGCATGGGTGTTACCTTTACGGCGTTCGTCGAGCGCGTCGCGACGCGCACGTAAAGCGCGTCGTTTGCATAAGTCGGCATCGCTTTTCCGCTCAACACAGTTTCACGCAACAGCGAGCAATGCGTCGCGGCGCGGCGCGGCAGCGGCGTGGCGCGCCGCCTCGCGCGGAAAAAAAGAGGAGCGCATTCCCACGTGAAATTGCATCGTGCGCGCCGCGCCGTGTGTACGCGGCTGGGTTTATTAGCGTCGCATTATTTATTGTCCGCGTCGCGACGCCCTAGTTGCGATAATCGAGCCGACGCGGCGCTTGCGAGCGCCGCGCCCGCGCCGCCGCCACGCTTTACCGCGCGTTCGAAATTTTCCGGAAAAATTTCGGGATTATCATGCGTTAAGGTAATTATGTCGCGGAGTGTCGCGCCGGCGTAACGGATGTCCTTCCGGGGAAAGAGATATTGACGGTCGTACCAATAAAAAATAGCCAAAAAGAGACAGAGACGTTAATTATTTACGGAATAATTTAATATAAAATATCGAGGAGAATTAGAAACGGAAATTACGGACACGATATTTCACGTGTTTTAGACGCGTGCATTTTTTAAGCGGATTAATCGAGC